TCTTGGATTTCTCACTCCAAGTCATTATCCAACATACCACACTGCACATCCCCTTCTATAACTTTTAGATAACAAATTCTCTAAAAGATGGAACACAATACACTAAAAGGTTAAATAGTTTCAGTATTTTAGCTTAGTAGGTGTTTATTAAACCAAATAAGGTATGAAATTTACTGGCAGGTGGTACAAAAGTTTTGGCCGCTAGTTTATGCCATTTTGAAATTTGAAATTTGAATTATTATATATATATATATTTCGTTTCATTTTTCATTTCATTTCATTTTTGGAAGTGCCATCTGATGATCCTGCATCCTTTAAAAGGACTCAGGTGAAATAAATTATTATAACGGTACATTAAAGTGGTCTGTTTTTTTTTTATATATATATATATATATATATATATATATATATATATATATATATATATATATACACACAACTAATGATAGAAACATGCTATTTCTTTGAGTGGTGTATTTATATACGTTAGTTTGAAGATTGCATTGAAGCATAATTTGTGTACATTATTAGTTACAAATGAATTAGACACTTTGAACCAATGGGTTAGATATTTTCAGCCATATTTTATTAAATCCAGAGTATTGTTCAAATCTTTTGGCATCTAGTGTATGCCATTCTGAAATTTACCACTTAAATGTCCTATAAAACCTCCCATTGTTTTGACTATTTGGTATTAGTAGTTTTTTTTAACTATTTATTTTCTTTGCTTTTTTTGTACCCCTGTTCTTGAAATATTGATCTTTTTTCCCCTTAAAATGAATAATATTTATTCTCAAGCTAAAATAATATAACCAATTCTCAAGGTACCTGCTTATCAAATCCATGCATCCCTCAATATGCAAATTAGTGTAGAACTAACTAACCAATATCTGTTTACCAATATCCATTCGTACTTCAAGAATCTCACCTAACAGTTATTAAGTAGCATGTCCTGTAAATGTCATTAATATTTCATTTGTGTCTTTATTTATTTTGACAATTATTTTAATCTGAAAAAATGTCTTATTATTATTATTATTATTATTATTATTATTATTATCACTATTATTATCATTATTATTATTATTGTTATTATTATGCTCTTCTGGAGGTTTTTAAAAATATTTGAAGAGTTACATTAATTATTTTGTTTATTATTCATTGTATACATCCTTGTATTTGTTTTGTTTCTTTTCTGTTGCTTTCTGTCACAACTGAAAAGCTGTTATTCTAAAAGCTTTCTTCATTTATTTTATTGAATGATTCATTTTCTATGCCTTATCAACCCTTTGCAGGTTATTTAAAGCCAGAAAGTTTTTAAGCTTGTAAGAATTTATTTATTTATTTTGAGATACTAATGGTTTAGTGATACAAGTCTTACTAATTAACTCATAGTTTGGTTGCCAACCAAAGCTATAGAAACCCAGTCTGTCCTGATATTCAACCCACAGCTGGAGGAAGCTTCTCACATGACACAGCAACCCAACTTTCCTTGATATGCTCTGATATGGGGGACTTTAAGGGCACAATATTGTCAAGAACTATAATTAAATTTAGCATTATGCAGAGGCCCTCTTGTGCACTTTTTATGCATACATTTGATTTTTATCATATTTTTTGGACTATTGTCCTCATCTTTGTTGCCATATTTATCACAACGTTTCAGCCGTTGTATGCTCCGGCCTTCTTCAGATGGTTGGAATGTTGAACTGAACCCTTTATTTTGCTCGCTGGGGTAGACTTTTCTAGTTCCATGTTCAATGGATGTCAGTTATCTCCTGTTAATTCCCCTCTCCAAGTTTTCCATTGCCTGGTTAAGGCAGTGGAAAACTTGGAGAGGTTATCAACTGTGCCATGTGTCCTTAAGGACATATGTGTATGAATTTTGTGGACTTATAAAATAAATGTCTCCAGGAGAAAGTTTTACCAGTGCTCATATTGCAATTTTTGCAGTTATCATTGCTACCCCAGCAAGAAATAAAGGGTTCAGTTTGACATTCCAACCACCTGAAGAAGGCCTGAGCATACAATGGCCAAAACGTTGTGATAAATATGGCAACAAAGATGAGGATGATAATCCGAATAATGTAAATAGTCTACATAATACCTCATATCATAAATATAGACAGATTCCAAATTGAAAGTACTAACTTTTAATGGTCATAGAGAACTCTTTTTGCCTTCCATCAGTATGGCTGATGCTAACCTCCAATAGAGCAACTCATTGAAAAATATAGACAGATATCATATTTTTTTTTCACAACAATGTATCGTTGTTTAATACTGTTTATTATAAACAGAGTATTTACTTAAATATTTGTATCTATAAAAGAATGTATAAACATAAAAATGTCTTAAAATAATTGTTGGACTTTGTCCATTTCATATAATGTGTGACATCATATGTATATATATATATATATATATATATATATATATATATATATATATATATATATAATACCAAATTGTAATTGGTGGGATTATTCCAAAGAGAACTTTAGTCCATATAAGAGCTCAATGTATGTCACAGAGCAAATTACAATTAAGAACAGAGCTTAAAATCCATTGTTGGAAATATATATATATATATATATATATATATATATATATATATATATATATATATATATATATATATATATCATAATAATAATAATTAGGAAAAAAACTTAAAAATCCATTGTCAGTAATAAATTTATTCCGATGAATATCAGTATATTCATCTCCTCAGACCAACTACATTTTAATTTTTAATTTTTTTTCATAACTTGTTTTATGAGAAAAAAAATTGTAGTCCGTCTGATGAGATGTGGATAAGAAATCCAATTAATAACAATTACAGATATTACAATTTTACATTACTAATATTGATACAATGTGGGATTTTAAAAACAATAATAATTAAAATTTCAACCAAAAGCACTAAATAAAGTTGGTTTGCTTATGTAACTAGATATGACAGTCATCAAAAATTGAAAAACTTAAGCCTAAGAATCTCTATTTTTTAGCTTTTTTTAGAATTGTAACTGACTTTTATATTTTCCCACTTCCGTTTTATATATATATATATATATATATATATATATATATATATATATATATATGTACTAGCATTAAAAGTGAGAGAAAAATTTTGGTTAATATTTCCCAGAAACTAAATAACAATGATAGAAACCAGGTTTTACCTATAGAAATGTGCAGAAAATAGTACAAAGACAAAGGAAGAATTTCAATAAGGAGGACATTATGTAATCAATGTTAGTGTCTAACATGTAAATAAGTTAATTAGTGTTTTTGACACTGAATATGTTCTTATAAAAAAAAAAAAAACAACTTTATTTTTCAAATGTTAGAATTATTTCCAACTTTTGACTCCTTGCAGGAATAATATTTTCAAATGCTACCAAATTCAGCCTAAACAGAAAGGTTTATGAAAATTCTTTATCCATAGAAGACTTGGAGGAATTTTTAAAAATCGGTTGAGAATAAGGGATATACTTTAGAAAAGCTTTAGCTTGACAATAAATATAATTCATTTTATAATAAAAAGACCAATATTTCAAAAACAGGGTTCAAAGATTATTATGATTGTGTCATGCATTTAAATGTTAACCCAAGATTTCTGATTGTTACAGTTGAAGGCTGTGTGACAGCAAGTTTCCTCAAATGACCACCACCTTCCTCAGTAACTACATATATATATATATAGATAATATTAGTGGAAAATATACATACATATGAAAAATATATATCTAAAAAAATTTCTATACATGTATATTTTCAGAAAAAAATTTTTCCAAGAGGAAGGATCCAGGTAGAACTCAATGTCTAGGACAGAGTAAGGATATAATAAAAAGGCTTAAACACTAATATTCCATGGTCATAATTTATTCCATTGGAATCGTAAATACGATCCAAATCATCAGACCTACAAATTCAAAATATATATATATATATATATATATATGCATAACTAATGATAGAAACACGCTATTCCTTCAGTGGTGTATTTATATTGTTAGTTTGAAGATTGCATTGAAGCGTAATTTGTGTCCATTATTAATTACCAATCATTAATTAATGAATAAGACACCATGAACCAATGGGTTAGATACTTTCAGCCAGTAGGAGTTTATTAAACCAAAGAATGTATGAAACTTATTAATTATTAAATCCAGAGTATTGTTCAAATCTTTTGGCATCGAGTGTATGCCATTCTGAAATTTACCACTTAAAAGTCTTATAAAACCTCCCATTGTTTTGACTATTCAGTATTAGTAGTTTTTTTAACTATTTATTTTCTTTGCTTTCTTTGTACCCCTGTTCTTGAAATATTGATCTTTTTTTCCCCTTAAAATGAATAATATTTATTCTCAAGCTAAAATAATATAACCAATTCTCAAGGTACCTGCTTATCAAATCCATGCATCCCTCAATATGCAAATTAGTGTAGAACTAACTAACCAATATCTGTTTACCAATATCCGTTCATACTTCAAGAATCTTTCCTAACATTTATTAAGTAGCATTTATTCAATAAATGGGATATTATGTAATTAATATTATTGTGTAAAAATTAACAAGCTAATTAATGTCTTTTCACACTGAATATGTTATGAAAATAACAAAAAGAAATTTATTTTTCTAATGTTACAATTATTTCCAACGTTTTACTCCTTGCAGGAATATATTTAAATGCAGCCAAATTCTTCCAGATAGAGATGTTTATGAAAATTCTTTATCGCTAGAGACTTTCGTATACTTGAAGGAATTTTTAAGAAGATATTCTGGGTTTCAAAATTCAGATGCAGGATAAAGAATATATTTTAAAATATATTTATGTACAGTATTGATCATAAGTGATTGATCAGTGAATTACAGTAAAATCAACTTTGCTTTTCCGATCTGTTACCCACGGTTATTTGTATTGATCCCATTATTCATTTATTGTATGTAAAGTGAATTTTTATTCATCCATTTTTTTCTTCTGTTTTCAGAAAGGCGATAATATCAAGAAGTTTAGGGAAGAGGTAGGTGATATTTTTTTCAAAGATATTTATCTGGCAGTTTTGTATTGTTTTTCATATTCAAATGATTCACTTCCATTGCTCCAATGAAATTAATTTAAATATTTTCTAAAAACTTGAGACATCACTTTCCACAATATTTGATGTTATTGTGTCATGCTAACCCAGGATTTCTGATTGTTACTGTTGAAGGCTGAGTGACAGCAAGTCTCTTCAACTCGGCAGCGCCTTCCTCAGTGACTATATGCACAACTAACAATATAAACACACCACTCAAGGAATAGCATCAATTAGTTTGAAGATTGCATTGAAGTATAAAACTCACTTGTCATGCAGTGTTGATTATTTATGTCCACTCTGTCGACATCTATTTATCTATCTCTCTCACTCACACACTATATATATATATATATATATATATATACATGTATATGTGTATATATATATATATACATGTATGTATGTATGTATATATGTATATATATATATATATGTATGTATGTATGTATATACGTATATATATATATGCATATACGTATATATATATATATATATATATATATGTATATACATATAAATTATTAATAGTTAATTCTATATTGTAAATAGACAAGTTTGTACATCCAATTTTGAATCATCATTATGAGAACATGACAGATAACAGTCAGAATTTACTCTTGAAGATTGCGTTAACTGCATGAAACTCCGAGTTGTGTTATTGATGTTGGATATTATATATATTCTCTAATATATATATATATATATGGAGGCACAGTGGAGTAGTGGATAGGGGCTTAGATTGAGGAATCGGAGAGTCAAGGTCAAATTCCAGTTGAATCCATTATATTCACTTATGTGCTAATACCATTGGGAAAGGTATTAAACCTCTTCTTCTCCCTCCAGCTATGGGTAAATAGCAGGACAGACTGGGTTCTATAGCCTTGGATGGCAACTGGTCTAGGAGAAGGGCAATTCTAAATTCAAAACCTACAGAGGGTCTTTTGGGGACCTTGTGGCACATAGTGCACCAGGTCTCTGTAATCGGCCCTTCAGAAAGTGTGAATAGTTCTGCACAATCCGTTCACCATTATAATCAAATCATATATGCTGGTGTCTGGGCTGCCAGTTCCTAGGAACTGAACTGCTTTACCCTTTATGTCGAATACAACAGGAAAGTCCACCATATACTCCAATAAAATTTCAGATTGTTTATGCATCAATCGGAGGACAGTGCAGAGAATTAGTTGAATGCATCTAATGGTGATTACGATATGTTTGGAGTGATCACTAGTGATTGTGACATTATGCCTTCATTCATCTCCCTTCAGCACCTCTGACTCAACACTGAGGCCAACATTGAGTGCCTTGTGGAGTTAGTGAGCCTTGGATCAAGAGGGTGATTCCTGGATGACCTTATGTCTAACAACAGGACTCTGCACCATGCCACACATGTAGGAGAATCCAGTCATGGCTGTCAGACAATTTGTGCAGCCACATCACCCATCACATCTGTCCACCTAACTCCCTAGATGGCAATCCCTTTGTTTATTATGTGTTGAGTGAGAAACCAACAATACTCTTTGGAGCACCAAAGATCAATTGAAGGCAAGAATTATGGCAGCATTCACCAACTTAAACAAGGACATCATCAAGAAGAGATACAAGAGATTCTGAAGTCGTCTGGAGACAGTGGTTGAAGATAATGGTGATGAGATTGAATAAATTTTCTCTTTTGTGTAATTTTGGTAAATGTATCTGTTAAAATAAGATGTAAGTGTTATTTTAATTTTTGCATAATTTAGATCACAATTTATCCATTGCACCTTGTATATATATATAAATATATATATATATAATTAGTAGTAATCTTATAAGTATAAGAAATACTCATTCGGAAAACCTTCAATGTTTTGATTTGCAAATAATCAAACCAATACCAAAGGGGAAAAAAAGGTATAAAAAAAGAAAGAACCAAGAACATGTACATTAGCCAAAAATAATCATCTAGCATGCAAGGCCAAAGCCCAAAGAAAAAAACACCAATACGCGTAGGCAAAATAACTAAATAAAGTGCTCAATACAGTAAGTAGAGCAGACCTGGTTAAACCTAGAGAGCCAGACAAACCTAGCAAGGTTTCACCTAAGCAGATCATCAGGGAAGGCTATATATATATATAGTCATCCACAGCCAGTTTCACTGAATCAAAGTTATATAGTCATTAAAGACATCTGATTGCTTCAAGCTGTGATTAAAACTTGACTGATTTGACATCAGTGACTCTTACATCTCGGCTACCGCCACATGACAGACAAATGGAATTTTTAATGCACTATATATATGATATATAAACACCATACCAGTCGCCATATTGCTCAATTCTTACAAAGAGCGATGCGGATATATATATATATATATATATATATATATATATATATATATATATATACTCACATATATGAATGATACAAGTATAGTTTTTGAGATATTTATGAGTTTAAGTGTTCAATATCAATGATAGAGCATATGTAGATATAAAAGTGGACATTGAAGTCAACACCCAGAGGTGACAGTCTGTTTCATGCTAAATGCTATTGTCAGCCCAGATGCATTTTGTTGATGAATTGTGGGTAGTCTGTTGTATTATTCTAACGGTTCTTTTGGTGGGTAGTAATGGCTATGCTTCAAATTATTCTAGGGGCTACTGATTGAGAATAATTGTGGGTCCAATTGTGGGAATTTTAATAAAGCCCAAACATGTGAAACTGGAATATCTGTTTATATCTCTGAGATGATGTATTATGATTGCTTGCATTATTTACGTTATTCGGACTATTATCCTCATCTTCATCTGGAGAGTACAACAGCTGAAACATTATAAATATGGCAATAAAGATGAGGATAACAGTCCGAATAATGTAAATAATGCAAGTAGTCATAATTCCTCATCTCAGAGATATAGACAGGTATTGAATAAAAATTCCAATCACCTGAAGAAGGCCAGAGCGTACAATGGCTGAAACATTATAAATATGACAATGAAGGTGAGGATAACAATCCGAATAATGTAAATAATGCAAGTAAACATAAAGCCTCATCTTAGAGATATAGACAGGTAGTAAAGAAAAAATCTGATCACCTGAAGAAGGCTGGAGCGTACAACAGCTGAAACATTATAAATATGGCAATGAAGATGAGGATAACAGTCCAAATAATGTAAATAATGCAAGTAATCAAAATACATCATCTCAGAGATATAAACAGATATTCCAGTTTCATATGTTTGGGCTTTATTCTAAAAAATTCTAAAAAATAGCTTTTTAAAACAAAAACAGTTTCCAAGAAAATAGACAGTAATAGTCGGATCAACAGAAAATCTGGCCTTTTGCATGTCATTTTTTTTTGCAGGTAAATTTGTTAAAATTTTTCAAAATGTCTAGAAAAAAAATTTAAGTGGATAACAGGCAGATATTTTGAGTTTTGCAGTCTTCCTGCACACATGTCCGCAGACACTCAACCCCTGAAGATGATCTCGGGAGAGACTGAAAGTACTTGTAAAAACAAAAATTATTTGAAAGCAAATTTTGGAATTTTTCTTAATCAATTTTCTACAGCCATCAAGAAATTAATTTGTGGACTTGAAAGGATTAAAATTAAAATAAATAGACATAACACATCTAAATTATTTAACCAAACAAGCTTGAATGAAAATATGCTGCTTATATGGACATACTTTAAAATTATAAAATATATAAACCATTTACAATGTAATGATGATTATTCACGATTTAAGGTGAATAAACATCATTGTATTGTAGTTAGTTCATATATTTTTATAATTTTGTAAACAAACTTATCCTTGTAAATAGAAAATCTAATAAATAATCAGATGAAGTAAAGACTCAAACCAACAGAAATGTTGTTCTATAGAAAAATGCTGAGGATACCACAGGTCAAGCATGTGATCAACGACAAGATTTTGGAGAAAATGGAAACAAAAAGGAAACTTATTCATAACATTAGGAAGAGGCAGTTTAAATTTTTGGAGCACATAATGAAGAAAGAAGGCTTGGAAAATCTGATATTCACAAGACAGATTGAGGGAAAATGGACAGAACAAAACAGCACATAACATAGTGAGTTTGAGTAAATGTTTAGTAGAACAGGGTTTAGGAGAAATAACAAAAAGACAAAACTTATTAAGAGTTACAAGAAACAGAAAGATGTGGAGGGTCATGATCGTCTATGTCCTGAAGGATCACGGCATATAAAAGAAGAAGAATAAATAATGTTTAATTGTTATCCATTATGTTATAAATATGAAATTTAAAATTATTCTCGTAAATAAACACCCTAATAAATAAAGCATTATTTACATTATTCAGACTGTTATCCTCATCTTCATTGCCATATCCACAATGTTTCGGTCATTGTATGCTCTGGTCTTCTTCAGGTGTTTGGAATCTCAAATGGAACTTTGTTCTAATTCCACGTACCATGCCTCGTCCAGATCAATTACTTTCCTTTAACTCAACTTTCCAAGTTCTTGGTTCACCGCTACTGTGGCCTAGTATTGAACTCACAACTGGATCTAACCAAAGTCTTTATCTACTGTAACATGTGCCCTTGAGGATATCTGTGTATGAATTTTTGGGACTTATAAACCTAATGTCTCAGCAACCATTTTTTACCAGAGCTTAGATTGCAATTTTTATTGTTGTTCATTGCTTTTCTCTGGCACTCCTTATTATTGGCCCCATATTGTATTCATTTCTATGCTTGGTTGGCTCAGGAGATTTTTGTGGCCTAGCATATGTACTGATTTCTTAAGGTCTGAATAATGTAAAGTATATAATGTATAGTGGTATCAAGAGAAAAAGTGTCCACCTGACATGCCATGTTTTTTGTGGATACATTTATTAAACTTTGCCACAAGTTAAACAGGCAATGCCCTCTATTTATGCTTAATGGAACCATCTTGATATGTCCTGCTGAATTTGAGAAATATGCCTGTTAATTTATAATGAATATGGACAATTCTTGATTTGCTTTCTGTGCTTGAAATACTACTTTCTCTTGAGTCAAGTATCTTGTTTTTCTTTCTTTCAGAGTGGGGCCAAAATTAACATATCAGATGGCTCATGCCCAGAGCGAATAGTTACTATCACAGGCTCTTTAGAGAGTATTAATCGAGCCTTCACAATGATTTGTAAAAAGTTTGAAGAGGTAATGTTTCTATTTTATTTTTTTTGTGTTTTTTTGATTTCATTTAATGATCTATAAAATATTTCTTTTTTTCTTGATTTCATTAAATGATCTCTGAAATCTAAGTTTTTTTACTTTATTTCATTAAATGATCGATAAAATCCTTCTTTAATATTTGATCTCATTTAATGATCTATAAAATATTTCTTTTTCTTGATTTCATTAAATGATCTACAAAATCTAAGTTTTTTACTTTATTTCATTAAATGATCTATAAAATCCTTTGGTTTTTCTTGATTTCATTTAAGGACATATAAAATTCACGTTATATTTTATATTCATTTTTACTAATTCCTCAACCAATAAAATGGCCAAGAGTCACACAAGGTAGTGGCCTACTGAATGAGGTTTTTGTATGAACATAGGTTCGGGTTGGTTGTTTTAGTTAAGTGGTATATCAACCTCTCTGGGTTTATTAAATGCCAAACTCTATTGAGTATGGCCGACAGTTAATGAATCCAACTTGCTTGAGTGTAAGAATGCATTTTTAAACATTTTCCTTGCTAAACATTATCACTTGTTTGTATTTTTCTTTTTTTCAAGGATCTTCAGAATACACCCACGGTGCCTAAGCCTCCTGTTACTCTCCGATTGGTTGTGCCAGCAAGCCAATGTGGCTCTTTAATTGGAAAGGGAGGGTCAAAAATTAAAGAAATTAGAGAAGTAAGTCAAGTTTCAACCTTGAATTTTCTTTTTTTATGTTCAACAAAATAGAACGATTTTCAATAAAAGCTACTTCAAGGAAAATGTAATTTAGTATACTAAAAGTAGTTCTTTATATGATTTTTACATTTATGCTTTTATATGACAGTATATATTTATGTTGTCAAAAGCATAACATATATATATATATATATATATATAATTTCGCTTGAAGATGAAACAGAACTAAACACCTCAATTCAACATAATTTTAATAATCATTTGGATGATTTAGAAACTCTTTTTTTTGAAACATGAGAACTCTTATATAGCGGAAGGAAACATATTTTTAAACAAAAAATACTATTATATATATATATATATATATATATATATATATATATATATATATATATAAAAAAAAAGAAAAGAACAGTAAGTTATATAATCCGGTGTTCTTAAAACTATATTTCTTCATATTCATCTTCATATATATATATATATATATATATATATATATATATATATATAAAAGATAACAAATCTGTTGGTATAAATTTAATATTAAATATTAAAGCAGATCTGCAAAAAGAGCTCAATGTATTTATTATTACAGAGCAAAAATTAATACAAAATAAAATCCAGAATCACTTCATATGGAGAATAAGTTTATTTAGACAGACAAAAATATAATTTGTCTGTCAAAATAAACTTATTCAACATATGAGGTGATTTTGGATATTATTCTATATATATATCTATATATATATATATATATATATATATATTAATAATAAAATTATTGGTAATCCATTTGGAATTTCTAAGAGGATACAGATCTGTTGTGAGCTCTATGAGCTAACAGAGCTCTATTATTACAGAGCAAAAATTATTATATAATGACAAACAAACTCTTAAAAAGCCATAGGTAATATTTTATTTTATTGAAGACAATAAAACAGGGCTTCAAAACTTCAGACCTGTAAATCTGTGGTTTGTTTGTAATTATATAATATATATATATATCTTAGTTGCTTTATCACCTTGCTTACGATGAAATGATAGAAAAGAAAACTTTGGTAAGTAAATTATATTTTACCTTCTAAAAAAAAAAGACTACCATATATACACAAGTATCATGAGATTTTTGAAGACCTAATTTTGAATCTAATTTTAAGGGGGTCATATAATACATGAGATATGAAATTAGTGTACGTACTGCTATAAATATTTGCTGTTGTCAAAAAGTACAGCAGTATTTAAAATAAACATCAGCCATTACACGCGTATATACGGTATGTTTCCAATTATCATAATATGTAGTAATTCTTGGGGGATCAGTTTATTAATTCATAATAATAGAAAACCGGTCCCTCACTTTGTGTCCAATAGAAACTTTAATTACCTAATATAGACTTTTGAAGACCTAATTTTGAAGCTCATTCTAAGGGGGTCACATGATACATGAGATATAAAACTAGCCTATGTACTGCTGGCCCGGATTATGCCACTGAGCAAACTATATATCTATTTACTGTAGTCAAACTAGCTTCAAAATTAGGTCTTCAAAGGTCAAATGATGACTAAAAAAATCCTTATAGATAATCTAAGGAAGGGATGGTTAAAAATGGGGGATCAGTTCTGTATTGTTCTTTAGTACTAAACACGTCCCCCATTTCTTGGCTATAGTAGATTCATAGATGGAATTTCAAAACATCCTTATAGGTAATCAAATGAAAGGATAATAGAAAGTGAGGGATCAGTTTTGTATTGTTCTTTAGTACTAAGCACATCCCCCATTTCTTGTCCATTGTATATGATATCCATTTCTATAATCTAAACAGGATTTAAGTAAATTCCAAAAAATATTCTCATAGGCTAATTTGTTATATATATTGTACATACTTGCCTATTATTTGAACACCTTTATTTTGAAGCTAATTTTAAGGTCGTCGCACTATACACAAGATATAAAATTAGTTTATGTGCAGCTGGCTCTGGTTATGCCATTGACCAAACTATATATCCATTTACTGTAGCCAAAAAGTACAGCTGCATTTAAAATAAGCATCACCTGTTACACAAGTATATACAGTATGTTTCCAATTATAATAATATGTAGTAATTCTTGGGGGATCAGTTTATTATTTATGACAATAGAAAACCGGTCCCCCACTTTATGTCCAATAGAAACACTACTGCTTAAATGCAATCTTCAGGCCATGTGGACACACACACACACATATGATATATTGTATGTACTCGAGTATCATGTGACTTTTGACGACCTAATTTTAAGGGGTTCACATCATAGACGAGATATAAAATCAGTATATGTACTGCTTGACCAAACTATATATCTATTTACTGTAGTCAAATTAGCTTCAAAATTAGGTCTTCAAGGGTCACATGATACATAAGTATATACGGTAACTTGAAATTGGACCCTTTGAAAACTGAATTCATAATTGTATTAACAACTGGAAAAACCACAAAAAAATATTTGAGCATAAAACATGATGGAAATATAATAAATGTTTATGAAAATGATTTCCCAATTTCATTTCCAAGAAATATTCTCAGTATTGATACAAGATTTCAAAAGTGACTTACCTATTTTCTTTTGCACAGAGCACAGGTGCCTCTATTCAGGTAGCCAGTGAAATGCTTCCCAATTCTACCGAACGGGCTGTGACAATATCAGGGACGGCAGATGCCATTATACAATGTATTCAAAGCATCTGCTCTATCATGTTGGAAGTGAGTAATTCAATCATTTGATTATTTTAATGAGTATCTTCATCATTATTGTTTTTGCCTTGACATAAGAGAGTCAAACTGGAGACTACTTTACAAAGTCATATTCTCTTTGAATCAGTTTAAACTGATGCCTACTTTTTTTTTCACCAATATATTGTGACTGTTTTGTTTAAAGTTTGTATCTTTTTGATTCCAGATTAAAACGTGGCAATTTCCCAACAAATTTCAGTGAAATTTTTAATTTTTGAAATTATAGTTTAGAAATATAAGAACAAAAGACATCAGATGATCCTATATCCGTCTGGTATCAGCTTAAACTTATCTGTTTAATTATTAATTATTAATTTCCTTAATGGTTCATTATAGTTTATATATATATATATATATATATATATATATATATATATATAATGTATGTATGTAATGGACTCTCCCGTCAATTTTCGATGTATGAGTATCAAACAACTCAGTTCCTAGGGACCAACAGCCAAACACCCACACATATGACTTGATCACAATGGTGAAGGCTTTGTGCAGAACCAACCACACTTTTTGAAGGGCCAAATACAGAGACCTGGTACACTATGTGCTACAAGGTCCCCAAAAAACCATCTGCAGGTTTTGAATTCAGAGTTGTTCTTCTCCTAGACCAGTTGCCATCAAAGGCTACAGAACCCTGTCTGTCCTGCTATTTATCCATATCTGGTGGGAGAAGAGGATTCATAACTTTCCCAAGGGTATTAGCATGTAAGTGAATGGAATTCAAACTTGGCTCTCCAATTCCTCAATCCGAGTTGCTATCCATTACTCCACCATACCACCCCTATATATATATATATATATATATATATATATATATATGTATTGGGGGAAATGTATGACAGAGTGGAAAAAGTTTATTGTGACATGTTTTGAAAGGAAACTTTTTTTTCCATTATGTTATATATTTTTCCTCTGATATTGTTCTTGATATATAAAAATATATATTGTTATCTCATATATATATAAATGTCTTTAATATATATATATATATATATATATATATATATATATATATATATAATTTTTATATATCAAGAACAATTTTGGAGGAAATATGTATGACAAAATGGAAAAAGTTTTCATGTGATGCATCAATGAAATCTGAAGTGACAAAACATATCACGCAAAAAATGTTTCCACTTTGTCATATATATATATATATATATATATATATATATATATATAAATTCTTGAAGCCTTCTCTATCAAAATCAACCAACCAACACTCAACAAAATTTTATTACAAATATAGCAACAACATATTACAGTGCATATAACATGTTGTGCCATTTTATATTTCTCCCAATTTCTGGTCAGCTTCCTGAAACACCTGTTTTGCCAAAAATTCCATAGATACAATGGATGAATTTAAAAATAATTATAACAGAGCACGTTCATGCATGTTTTTAAATATCACTATCACAATGGAATGCCAATTTTATCGCAGTTACAATAAACTTATCTTTGTAATTTACACCTGAAGATGACCTTAGAAAAAAGGTCAAAAGTACTTGGATTAAAAAAAAAAACTATGGTGATTTTCTTGATGAATTTCATCTGAACATCAAGAAAATGATTAGAGGACTGAAAAGATGAGCATAAAAATAAGTAGTCTGTATTATTCAATGAAACATATTTGAATGAAGATATACTGCCTATATATATATATATATATATATATATATATATATATATATATATATCATCCACAGTCAGACTGTTTTGCTGTATCATCAGTGTGGCTAGACATCCAATTGCTTCAAGCTGAGATTGAAACCTGACTGATTTGGCATCAGTCAGAAATTCTACCACCAAGCTATCATTGCCTGGCAGAGCAGAAGGGAAATTTTAACATTTTTACTATACAAAAGATGTAAGTAGTTAGGAGAGCTCAATTCAAGTAGAAGTGCATTGCATTAGCAGCAGCAGCCACAGTTTATAAAAATCACCTCTTCCTCTTCGTGAGCTCAATTGAATTATTTCAAGAGCACATACACACACACACACACATACATACATATATATATATATATGTATGTATGTATGTATATGGAAAAATAGGATATTGTTTAAATAAAATAAATAGATTAATCAAAATATTTTAATAGAGGAGTGTACACTCTATACAAACAGGAGAGGATTTGCGAGAATATTTATAAGGCAAAATATACAAATGAACAGACTGCTGGATTTCTTCAACTTCAAATTAGGATATGTTCCTGGGTTTTGTCTATTGCTATGTTGATGAGAATTTATTTATATTTTATTTCTAAAACTATTTATTTCATTCCTGTCACTCTCTTTCTCAATGGTGCTGATGTTGTTTAAGGAAAATTGACATTAACGTAAAGTTATTAACACAAAAATTATTTGAACTGTTTTAGTTGATTTGAAAAAATGTTATATAAATATTATCCATTTACTAAAAACACTTGTTAATTTATTTGCTTCTAACATATTCTCATGTTTTAGAACTTCTGTATTCCTTCAGTTATTATGTCACTCACTTTGAACAAATCATGTTGCTACTGCTTACAACCTAAGTAAAAAATTTTAAAGACCAAATTCTAATTTTAGAAGTTACAGCATGTCATCTTTTGCATATCTGTGTCTCTGAAAATTCATATTCTCTAACACCATAATACTCTGTTAAATGTAAGTGCTGCTTTTTGTGTTTTACAATGATTTTCACCCTGTACAAGGCCCAAGAGCCACTCAAGGTAGTGGGTTACAGAGTAAGAGGCACAATTTATGGGGATATGTGGGAAAGATAAAAATTAACCCTAAACTTTAACAGGTTTATATAGTAGTTATTGAAGAAGCATTTATTTATTTATCATCTCTCAGTTGTGTCTCTGTCTTTGTGTAGCGTGCACTCAGGGGTGACTCTGTCAAAGGACACAGTTGCAACTGAGAAAAATTATACTGAGAGGTGCCCAGCCCTGGGGAACTGCTGGCTGAGGCTGCAGCCGCTCATTGCACCAGAGAGAGGGATTGGTGCTTGCACTGAAGCCAGTGCAACTAAAGGTTGCAGGGGCTGTGAGCAATTTTTGTTCCTTGCCCAGGTGTACACGACTAGGTGTCCACCTTAAAAAAAGACCTTGTGTCACAACTCATCTTAGTGGGGAGACAGAGTAAATAGCTAGTTATCAAAGAAGCATCCTGTTGGGAGTTGGTTCCACAATGCAGCGATTTGTTTGAGGGAGCTGTTCAAGTGGGATACAAAAAAAGACGGGGGGTGGGGTTCATTACAATGGGTGTGGTATGGCATGTCTTAGCTTTGAATGTTAAAACTGGTGGAAATGAAGAATGTAGTTCATCTGAACATTTTCCATGGAAATAGTGATAGAACAACGAGGGGCTTGCAATGTTTTGTATGTTGCAAAAGGACTGTAAGGTGGTAAACAATTCATCACTCACAAGGCAGAAACTAGAAAGTGAAGATTAGGTATCTCCTGCCCTTATATGGCAGCAGTACCCCATATTTCGCCTGTTCTAGCTGTAGTAAAAGCACAGGAGAGCAAGAGAAGTCAGGTACTTAGTCGATCAGGGAACTGACCATTTTTCCAGTATCTTTAGTGATGTATCATAGCTACGCATTCCACCTGAGGTCTAGGTTGAGCTAAAGTCTCACTAGGTGCTCAAGGCATGGAGCCTATCTGCAAAAACATCTCTTCATCCCAATAGGTGAAAATTAAGGATTCCCTCAGGGATGATGGAACTTCAATAGTTTGGTTTTCGGGGCCAGTTTTCTCCCCACTGAGCTGTTAGAGCTCATTCAGATGAGAGATCAGCTGCCAATTTCTGTTTTTCTATAGTTTTGGAGCTGCATATTATCAGCATAGTCACAATTGTTTGGAGTATACCCTTAGTCAGATCATAAAGTAGAAAGAGAGTAGGACCGAGAAGTGAACCCTAGGGGACACTTGGATTAATCACTAGGGACTCAGAACATTGGCTGTTAACAACTACTTTCAGAGACCTATCCGTTAAGAAGGACTCTATTATTGAGAAGTGTCTTCCAGTGATTTCATAGCTAGAGAGCTTGAGCAGTAATCCCTTATACCACTCCTTATCAAAGACATTTGAATCATCTAATGCAATCATAAGGAAACATCTAATATTACCATTAGAGATGAGAACAGATACTACACTTTGATCGTTAATGAGTGATTACATGCATAACTTGAATAACACTGGTTGCTCAGTCAATGAATGTTGAATGTTTCTTTATAAAGAAACAGCTAATATCATTACGATGATGTACCGTATATACTCATGTATCGTGTGACTTTTGAAGACCTAATTTTGAAGCTAATTTTAAGAGGGTTGCATTATACATGAGATATAAAATTAGTCTATGTACTGCTGGCCCTGCTTGACCAAACTATATATCCATTTACTTTAGTAAAAAATTACAGCTGTATTTAAAATAAACATCGCCCATTACACGAGTATATACGGTATTTTTCCAATTATAATATTATGTAGTAATTCTTGGGGGATCAGTTTATTACTTTATGACATTAGAAAACCGGCCCCTACTTTATATCTAGTAATTATTGCATATCATGCGACTTTTGAAGACCTAATTTTGAAGCTAATTTTAAGGGAGTCACAATGATATGTCCCAGAAAGGGATATATTTGATCAAAGTAGCTAAGTGGTTTTGGCTACTATAACCAAATAGTACATGGTAGCAGTAATCAACTGGTACTCATTGTAGTCTCAGGTAATAAGTGTAGACCAATAGGATAGCCAATGGTGTAGTCCAATGGGCATCGTCATAGACTTAAACTCTGTCATACCTACACGTTTGTCTGTATTTATGATGGACACCAGCCAATCATATTCCAGTGAGGGTGAAACCAAGGTGTATGCATATTCCATTATATCACACAAGATATAAAATTAGCATATGTATTGCTAGCCCTGGCTATGCCACTGACCAAATTTTA